ATTTTTAAATCAACTGAGCAAAGCTAGTTATCTCAACTGTCAATTTAACTAGTTAAGATCATATACGTTGATTAGAAAATAAACCAACTAGTTAAGTTRAAAAGTTAAAAAAATTAACTGCTTAACTTAACTTTAACTTTTTAATTAGTTAATACCCACCTTTGGGTAAAACTATACTGGATGAAATTAAAAACCATTTGGAAAATTGTGATTACCTAGGTTTATTAGTATGAATATTTTGTTTCCGAGAAGTCGGACAGTGTTTGCGTATTATAACTACCTACTATACTATATTGTCGTAAATTTRAGTTAAAATTCCAAACAAATTAAAACCACATTTTATGAAAAATCAGGACTATGATGTTGGACGGATGACTATGATTGTCCGTGCCACATTTTTTAAACGTATACAGTGTTGTACGCTCACTATAAAAGTTTTAAGACATATTTCATCGAATACATAATTTTAAACAAATATTATGATGTACCGACAGTGCAAATGATACGTCTGAAAATATTGTATCAAAATAAATTTCATATAACATAGATATAATATGGTAGCGCAATCCACGAAATTTAAATAATATTACATATAAGCTCCAATAGTATTGTGAGAAAATTGATCAACTTAAAAATTTCCGAAATATTATTTTCATTTATCATATATTCATATATACAGCCATCACATCGTCTGCGTATAACAATATGAAACTAACATGTCGCATCTAGAAAACCTATATTAGCTAAGTACTTAAACCGTTTCAATTGTACCTATATTTAGACGAACAAAAAATATTATGTAAATCGCGGGTTTTTTTTGCGGCATTTTATATAAAATTATACCTATAAAACGATAATAATATTACAACGGTCGTCATACAGGCCATCTCGAGAAGTTAAAATGTAATATTATTATTATTGTATTTTTTTTTACATATTTTTCGAATCAAATGGATCAAATTCACAAAAGTTCGACGTGGAATATTATATAATTATAATAATTATCAATTATAAAACTATTTTATGAAATGTAAAATTATTATAATGGTCGCGGTGGTGTATTAAATACTTCTGTTTGCTCGACGAAAGTCAAAAGTGCACTACTAAACGGTGGGTACCTAAATATTTTAAAGTTTTTCGTTGATATTGTATTTTCCAGTTGGGGAAACCCAAGAACGATAATCACTGTAGATTATGGTGTAGACAAAATTTCAGCTTTAATTAAGAAGTATAGGTGATGAGGGGACATGGGGATCGGATCGACGGAGGGATGAAAGCCGATCGCGTTTTGCTCGTGGAAAATCGCTCTCAATAATCGTCGTCTGTCGACGAAAACAACTGGTCGGTGCGTATGTTGTTCTTGATCCATTCCGTGTACATGGGTACGTTGACATACACACCCGGCAAGCTGGGCGTTGCGCACTCCACACCCCAGCTGACGATGCCACCCACGAACCACCGATCTTTGTATCCTTCCATCGGGCACAGCAGCGGACCTCCCGAATCACCCTGTGGATAAATCTCGTGTATACTAGCTAATATTATATCGATCTGTGTCATTCATGTGTATAAGATCGCGGATATCCTGCAGCACATCCATAATCGTGTGACAAGAAAATCCAACCGAGCGCGGGTAGAACAGGTTGATAGGTACTAATATCACAAATAACTTATTTGTATACCATGAAACATAATATTATTATGTATTATAATAAAGCCAAAATATATTATAATATGCAATAAAAATATTTTAATTTTTTGCGTGACCTCAAAATCTTTTCGCATGCCATGGATTTGCCATCCCTGTGCTAGAGCATAATATATATATATATATATGGCACCCATAAGGGGGTAGAGAAAATCGCCGACAAACCGAGCTGGCTAGTTTTACATCGTTCAAAGTACAGACAATATAAAAAAAATGTCTTGCAAAAAGTCCCAATTATAAGAAAATTAATTTTCGCAATTTCGGTGAATCCGATCGAATGAAACGTTGGTATCGAATTATTGTTTGATTGTAATCACCTGACATGCGTCTTTGCCACCTTGCTCGTAYCCAGCGCATATCATTCCCTCAGTRATGTTAACGTCCTTCTGTTTTAGCCACGCGTTACACAAATCTCTGTCCAGCACGGGAACTTGAACTTCATTTACTGTCGGTTCATAATCAGCTCCTGCGAAAAACAAAATAAAAACAATTGAAACAATATAACACGAATTGGCCGAATTGAGTCTAAAGCATTTAACGGAAAGGCTACGTATATAATATACACTGTTTACACATACATTGTTATAGAACATAGCGTAGTAGGAAATAATTTTATGATAGGTACTACAAATAAATTAAACAAAACATACAT